CCCCGTCGCCAAAAAAATTTCGGTCAGTGTACCGTTTTAGGGGTACAAAAATTTTACCGGACATATCCAAGAAAAGGGATGAAAAAAATTTTTCCGGACATATAACAAATATTTTTCCGAACATGGCAACAAAAAAATTTTCCGGACGTACATTTTTTAAATCAATTAAACAAAATATTGCAAATTTTACCACTTATCCCTAAATTTTCCAAAACTACACTAACTTTTTCCTTAATTATCAACATTTTTGCAGAAAAAACAAAATTTTCTGGGGGGCTACGCCCCCTCCCCCCCACTTTTACTTCTGGGAGGCTAAAGCCCCCCAAGCCCCCCTGTTCCGCCGCCACTGGTTCAAAGTGACTCCATCCGTGCAAAACTCTTTGTTTAAGATCGTAGGCTTTTATTGCCATTATTTCATTTATATTATTCTATTGTTCTTACTTAGTATTTAAATACAAACATTTTTAGTTTTAACTGACTTGATAATGACGTTCTGTTAACGTCGAAACGTCGTCTAAAAACTTTTTATCATGTATATAAATAAGTACATTTTATCGCAGAACTTCATAGTAAAATATTTAAAGAAACCATTACTAATTTTATGCTATTACTTATAATAATGCCCTCGGACCTCTCTCCTCCGCAAAGGCTTTATAGTGAGATACATTTAACTACACTTTACATGGCGAATCTTGGAACACGAGCGTAGCCACTGGGCGAAGGAAGGCAGACGCTGCGCGGCTCACTAGAGATCTTAAAATTCATTCGTCGGTACACTAGAGACCTTACGATTGATGGTTTTTTCGCTAAAGTGTAACCGCTAACCGCTAGAAACCACGTGACCAGAAGCTCGCCGTCGCGTTTGCCGTAAATCGGTTATGTTTTCATGTCACGCAATCACGAAATCTAACCCAATCCCTATCTCTAACCTCCCAACCAATCATATTTCGTGACTGCATGACATGAAAATGTAACCCGTAATTCGCACACGTTTTAAATCTCAAGAGTGACTCTACAGGTAAGTGATTTACCTCAGCGTTTTATTCAACTGTTATTACTTCATTGCACGGAAATGACATATATTAAGATAAATATACATCTTATCTTTGATTTGGATGGATTAAAGTTGTTTTTAACGGAACATTTTTCATAAGTTGTTTTTAACGGAACATTTTTCATATTCTGAATGTTTTAATGAATCATGTGTTGCATGTAATTCGATATATAAACAACATGGCACCCAATTAAGGGCATGTTTATTTGGAAGCCGGCCTGGCCCGCTTAGCGAAACAGCCCGGCTTCCATATAAACAGGCCCTCACTCTCCAATTTACTTAGGTTAAACAAACATGAAAATTGTTTGAATATGTTGTGCCTGATTTTGGTATGGGTTTCTTAAGTTGAGGTTTGTTTATTTTAAGTCATGTTTTGAATTATTTTAATAAACATTTACATTTGAACATTCACAATAAAGCAAGTTCAAAATCATTCATGACCTTTGCACAGCCCGTGTTTAAACATACTTGCATATTTCTTACTTACATTTATACTTGCATATTTCAGTTCATTTAAACAAATTGGTAGTGAATTTTAAATCTCTCCTTCTCGTTGCTTATCCTACACTTCAAACATTCATTAATTGGCAAATCATGTCAACCATAATATGTCACGTGAAGAGGTTCATTAGTATTCTTTATAAACATAAATCCCTTCTCGTTGCTCATCCTACACTTCAAACACTCATTAATAATTCAAAAGCTTATTGGCAAATCATGTCAACAATAATAATATATAGTATTTTTTATGTAAAGAATGCTAATGAGACGGCACTGATCTATTCTAGTCGTATTTGAAGCTATTCAAAACACTTGCAGTCGTGTTTTATTACATTGGCCGCAGCCAGTGTCATAGAATGCCCTTGTTGAAAATGCTGTCTTTTTCGGTTTTTCGGTTGCATGTCGCAAGTGTGACTTTCCATTGCGGCATCGTGGGCTCAGGATTGCGCAATTTAGCTAGAACATGCTCACGCTGATTAGGACCAATTCTACACAATGTTAAACAGAACGAATCTCGCATTAGTAACTACGTTACGATTCTTAGACGCTGTAATTGTGGGACGTATTTTATTATATTTCATTGCGCATGCGATTGAATTTTTCTGTGTGTCGATATGATATCGCTGAACTCTGTTGGTATTGTATGGATTTTTATTGTGCGTCCTCTCAATGTTTGTGATCATGAAGTGACGGTCGTCAAGAAGTGAAGAACATCTACAGTGTGAACGCCTGAGCAGGCGTCTTGTTATATCTAAAATGCTCGTGCCGCGCACTTGCATTTTAAATATGATAAAACACTCCTACGCGTGTTTTAAATAGTACACATAAACATCATGTGATGATGCATGCATGTTTTATTTACCACATATCATTCGCAAAAGTTCACCCGCTTAATTGCATGGTCCTTACGCGATTCATAAGAGAATATACATAAGTTAAATTCAAATTCACCCCGTTAGGAATTACGCCCACCTGTGCAGCCGCACTTCATAAATTTGGGTATAGAATATGTTTTCAATCTTTACCTGTATTGCGTATTAATTAAACCCCAAACATAAGTTGGAATTGCAATTGTATGCATGAATGCCTTAACAACAGGGCACAACGGCAAAACATAAGTCATTCATTCGAAGTAAAATTACTATTTCAATTATATTTTCCCAAGAAAGAGTTTTAAAACATTCCTCTGATAAAAAAATTAGCATGAGCATGCATAAAGGCCTGATTCCACGGGCGCTTTTTCTCGGCGAAATGCGAAATATTTCGCCTGTTTCTTTTGAATTGTAAGCAATCAAGTAGAAATAATTTATTCGAGTAGTCGCAATTCAAAAGACACAGGCGAAATATTTCGCATTTCGCCGAGAAAAAACACCCGTGGAATCAGGCCTTAAGAAAGACATACACATATCCCAGGCAATTAACAAAACTTAGTATTATATATACAGTATAGCAATAAAAACATGAACGTATATATTATTTTCCATGTACAAACACTTTCACCTTAGTAAAACAATTGGCCAAGCGGGATCTAGATTATGTATAGGTTAAACACCGAAAACGGAGGCTTTAAGCCACAAATTTCTTAAGCCAGATAAATTTCTTATAAAGGGTACATTTGTTCGACAAAATCGGAGTAATTTCGACTGCGCATCCAAATGACAAGTTCTGCGCTGGGAACAAATTGCAGTTGAACTATAACACCAATCAGAGACTCAAGGAATCAAAGCATGTTTTTCCGTATTCCGCCGTGACCCAAAAAGTCGCTT